CATAATGAAATTTTTTAGCAATTACATACGGGTTTTTTTCTCCTCGGGGGGTCAACCCAGGAAGGAGGCATTCCCTTACACCCCCCGCTCCCCCACCAGCCTATATACAGCAGCCTTTGACAGTTCTGAAGGTTCTGGATGGCCTTTGAATACCCTTGAGACCTGCCTGCTGATAGTGCCGGGGATCAGCATGTCTGCACACACAGGGAGTGTGTTTCACTCACGGCCATCCCACCCTGGGAACACCCTATTTCATCTGATCTCAAAAGTTACTTTAAAGAACTCTGTTACCTGAAAGAGCCAAACAAGCTGATGCCTTAGTAACAACATCTGTACTTTGTTTTTTGGGAAGTCTTTAATTGTAACAGCAGTTACTCTCTTTTAAGATCCAAAACACAAAATGCAGAGCATTGCAAGGTGAGCATTGTTAGCAATTTCTTAAAAATCTCAGCATGCAACAATACTTCAGATACAAATACATGGTGGATCCTACGGAATTCCCTAATTTCTCCTAAGTAACATTAGGTGCACAGAAGATGACACCAAATCACTCATGTGATTTAAAAAACCCAGCATCCTGCAGTAGCTGAGTGCCAGATACAACACATCACATGGAAAAGGCCCCTTGAAATTGTTCCTCCCCACCTTTTGGCATTCTACTGTCATGATTTATCTTACCAAGGTCAAGTATTATCAGCTGGGCTCCAGCCTGCGCATTTCCGACGTCATTTTCTGCAATGCACTGATAGAATCCTTCATCTGATTTCACCAGACCCAAAACTTGCAGATTGTGTTCTTTCTGAAGAGAAGGGAAAACACAACACTTAAAAATGGGTTGCAACTGCAAAACCACTGCTGTTGTTATGGCACATTGCTATGACAGGAGCAACTTCTGAATGAGTAACGTGGAAAAGTGTTGGGAGTTCCTGTCCGATTTCATCTCTCTTGCACTGAATCTTCAAATTACAGGGTATCAAAAAGCAGCAGCAGCTCTCCTTAATGGCTATCATTTTGTAGCATCACATATCACTGGCAAGTCATACCATTTCCACAGGCATTTTTATGATATTTTCGCAGCAGCAGCTCTCCTTAATGGCTATTATTTTGTAGCATCACATATCACTGGCAAGTCGTACCATTTCCACAGGCATTTTTATGATATTTTAAGCACTGGATGTAAGCACGCTAAGTGAGATCACTGTTACAATCCTACAACCTCTGGTATACATCCAATTACCCAACCATTAAGTTCTCAACTAGATGTCAATAATGACTTTGACTACATCTAAAATTTCCCTCTAGAAGTACCAAAACTCACAAGCCACAGCTCAGTTATATTTATATTTAAACTCTTTCAATTGTCCCTGGTTACAGATGACTGCAGTGAACAATTCAGTGTTCACTGTGAGCTTGCATTTCAACTGGTTCAGCCAACAAAGTGTGTTTTGTCATTGTACGTGTGTCTGTCTTGTGGAAAATCTAAGCTATAAAGAAATCAACTTGTACAACATAAGCACCATGTTGTAGTGTTTCAGTAAAGTGACTGAATTACAGAACATTAAAGGTTTCAAGAAGTCATTTCTCCTCCGGGCTCCAAACGTCAGTAGTACAGAACCAGAAAGCCCATCCTATAAAAGAACTAAGCTTCCATATGTGTGTGCTAGAGGATTAACAGGTCAACAGCTTAGAAACGAGCAAAATGGGCAATATACTTACAATGATTTTGAAATAGTCACTTGGGATAACCATGTCTCCGTTCTTGACCCATTTCACAGTTGGAGTAGGTTTTCCAGTCACCTCGCACTCAAAGACAATGTCCATAGATTCATAAGCATAAATATTTGCTGGCCGCTTCAGAAACTCAGGAAGAACTTCAAATAAAATGGAAGAAAGACCAAAGATGGTGTTAGCATCCACAAAAACACTGGTTATGCTCGTACGCAAACACAGAGCAAGACTCAACACAGTACGGGCAGTAGCAACGTGGACAGAAAGTTTCAGATCAAGGTTTGATAGAATCTGATACAAGCTCTATTACTGCATTATTTCAAAACTAGATCTGGGCCATCAGGCCACGCTGACAATGGCTGTTTATAACTTCTTCCAATAAGCTGCACTTTGACACACTGTAAAATCCAGCTGGAACTCCCCAAATCACACAACAGTATAGTTGTTATATATAGTAATCAGGCTACATTATGTATAACATCATTTTATTTACAATTGATCTGAACAATTTATTTATTCAGATAAAATCCTCCAGTTGACACATAAGAGTTTTTTCAGGGAGCTCTTTGTAGTCAATACTTAAATCACTGGGTAAGCAAAAGCTGAGATCATATTAAAATGGACACAAAACTAAGATGAAACTCTCCAAGGGTACCATGGCTTTGTGTTTCTGTGAAGAAATTCAGCTTAGCAAATAGACAGTGCTGTACTGATCCAAAGATTTTATTCTCTGTTTTGTGTAAGCTCAAGAACCACTGTGTGCAGATACTTTTGTATCACATTCCAGTGCCTAAAGGGGCTCCAGGAAACCTGGAAAGGGGCTTTGGACAAGGGCCTGGAGGGACAGGACAAGGGCAATGGCTTGAACCTGCCAGAGGGGAGATTGAGATGAGCTCTTGGGCAGAAGCTCTTCCCTGTGAGGGTGCTGAGGCGCTGGCACAGGGTGCCCAGAGAAGCTGTGGCTGCCCCATCCCTGGCAGTGTTCAAGGCCAGGTTGGACACAGGGGCTTGGAGCAACCTGCTCTAGTGGAAGGTGTCCCTGCCTGTGGCAGGGGTTGGGATTGGATGAGCTTGAAGGTCCCTTCCAACACAAACCAGTCTGTGGTTCTATCATGACAACGTGCTGCAGCTCTATATGGCCAAAGATGTGTATTTCATAAGAGCAAACCAGACAAGCTCTTCATTTAAGACATGTACAAGAGGTGATACCTCTGGGTCTCTGCCACCTTTTAAAACACCCTGATGTACTCGGAGCAACACTAAAGATATGTAAAATCCGTCAGAACCCAGAGATACTGAACTTCCTGCTAATACATGCCCCACAGCATCCAGTGCACAGACATGTTAAAAATCTCCTGTGAACAAATGGGCCACTGCAAAGCTGTTGGCTGCGTACAAGGAGTCAACACCGCTTTAGCTTGGCAGCAGAAAGAAGAGCTGTTAGCAGCCACAAACAATTTGAATACCATCTATTATGAAGAATATTCAACCTATTTATTGTTCTTTTACTACACTCACTGACACAAAGGCAATTTGCTTCCTCTGTTGGCAGGTTTGATTGTTCAAGTTCCAGGAAGTCAAAGCAGCCTTTTGCCCTTTAAGATTTATCAAAACAAGTCAATATGGAAGGGCCACAGAGTTTAGACAAACATTTCACACACTTTACCTATCAATAGGAGTTATTCCATGCATAAGGAATACTAGGTCATGGTTTACTTCTTCCTGTGAAATCGTTGTAAAGGTTTGTAGGTGGATTTAGTATTTTTAAAACAAGCAGCTCTTCAACACCCCCCCACCAAGTTTTGCATTATAAACTAGAGAACATTAACATATGGCAATATTTATTTATAGAGTAAGATGATGCTTCACTCTCAGATAAGCATGTAAACCTACACCAGAAACTGCATAAGGATGTACATATATCTTCACAGCTCAAACTCTCACATACTGGAGCAAAAATCTGGATATGGTTGCACCCAATTGGCTGTGACTCCAGACATCCATTTCACATCAACTCCCCATGAATTTACCAAACACTATGATTCTATGATATATAACTTCTTGAAATGCTTACATAGTTGACAAAAGGGAATGTAAAAATTGGACACATGAAAAGTTCATTTTTTCCATGAACTTTTCCATGAGCATGTACAACGCTCCTGTTTTCGCAACATTAGGTACAGGATAACATGTAATTCCTTAACCACATATTAAACTCGTCACAGGAAGCCTAATAAATACAAGTCAATAACATCCCCTGCCACAAGCACAAAAGTTGGGTAAAAAAAAAAATAAATACATCTGATGAGCTCAGGATACACAGAAATTGCTGTCCTCAGTAGCTCCACTGTAAAACTCAAGGACAAGAAATGGGATACATATGAGAAGTTCCATAAGTGGCTCTTGATACAAAGAATACCTGCTCTGGGTTCTAAGCTGCTTTTGCCAAAGGTAGTTACTTCATCAAAAGAAGTATTAGGATACAATCTACCCTTAATTAAACCATGTCTTAATCCAGTTTTCCATTTACTTCTTGTATTTGATGGTTACCTCTGAGGAAAGGGACCTGGGGGTCCTGGTAGACATAAACTCCATAGAAGTGAATGGTGTGTAGCGGCGACAAAGAAAGCCAACAGGATGCTGGGGAACATCAAGGGCAACACCAGCAGATAGAAAGGTGTCATCTGCTCTACTCAGCACTTGTTAGGCCACACCTGGAATACTGGGTTCAGTTTTGGTCCCCACTATACAAAAATGGGCTGAAGAAGGTCCAGAGAAGGGCCACAAAGATGACCAAGGACTGGGCAGCCATGTGAGGAAAGGCTGAGAGAGCTGGGACTGTTCAGCCTGGAGAAAAGGAGACTCAGGAAAGACCTTATCCCCATGTTCCAGTATTTAAGGGTGGCTATAAAGAAGGTGGAGACTCCCTTTTTGCAAGGAGTAACATGGAAAAGATATGGGATGATGGGCACAGGTTACTCCCAGGGAGATCCCGACTGGACACAAGAGGAAAATGTTTCACAATGAGAACAATCAACCATTGGAATAATCTCCCGAAGGAAGTGGTGGACTCCCCAACACTGGGCACTTCTAAGATTCAGCAGGGTCAGCACTGTGCATTGAAACCTCATTCACATCTACCTGTACCTTAGCCAGATGTTGATTAGCAGGACAGGGTTTTGAGACATCTAGTCTAGGTCATGCTTAGAAAGGTTGGACCAGATGATCCTTCCAACCTGGCGTTCCATGATTCTCTTTCAAAAGCATATTTAGACACTTATTTCAGAACTGATGAGCCTAGACAGCACAGAGGAGGCACAGATACCCAGCAGAAGAACAAACAGGGGTAGTTTGGGAATGGCCATTGCTAATCTGAGAGGCTGAGAGATGAGTAGAGAGTGAGGAGGCAGAAAGAAGTGATGGACTATCCTATTTGAAACAAAATTAGTGCAAAGTAAAGTGCTGGGCTCATTTCTGTTTTCTTCACTGATGTTTAAATTGTAATGAAGACATTCAGAAAGTACTCAGGTTTCTTTACCAACTGATAGAGCTTTAACTCAGGGCATCATCCACAAGCAGGCATTAATACTGAATCCTAAGAGCCATTACTTTCTGGCCACACAAAATAAGAGTTGAGTTAGATATCCTGTTACCTGCTTTCAAATAGTTCTGATTTAGGAGATGAAGATTTTGAAACACATTATCTTTTGAAAGTGATTTTGCTTTTCTGGCTTATGGAGCAAATGCCAAGCTGCTTACAAGGGATAATAATATGAGAAGAGCTCACTTTATTATCAATTACTTCCCAATTAATGAATTAAAAAAACTTTATAAATACACTTTTATAGTTTAACTCTGTCAGTGTTTAGCATTCACACAGATGAACACAATGCAAGTACAGATGTTTGTGGTAGAGAAGTTGCATTGATAACCAGAGAGCAAATGAGCCAATTACCATATCAAATAAGATTTGTAATGGAATATTATGTGTTCTGTTACCAAACAGACAATTAAACTGCAAAGAAAACTTGGCAGCTCTGCCCACTTTTCTATCCCTCTTGATGTTAGCATGCAAATAACAACTATTTTAATTGCAAGATGCTTGCACAGCATTTCACATGTGCTATGGGACCCTTAGAGGGTCCCTATCCAAGAGCATCTTCCACCCTTTTGTAGACTTAAAAGACAAAATGTTTTGATCATAACAGTGTTGAAGGAAACAAAAACCCCCCAATCTATGCCAGCGGTTGATTCCAGCTTCTAAGCTAAATCCAATGGAAGGTGAAATACTTGGAAAGCAATATGCTTTTTTAAGCCAACAGCTGTAAAATAATGGGAAGAGCTGAGGAGCTACGCATACGCAAGAGAAACTGCACCCTGGTTGAAGTGGAAATGGGGGTGAATGCTGGGCACAGATCCCATTCCGAGTACAGGTTACCAGGAGGGAATGGAAACAAGTTGCCCCAACTCTCTGCTCCTCTGTCTCTTCAGGTCTAAGAGTGGTGAAAGGCAACACACTGCCACAGAGGGCTGAAGCTCTGATCTTCATTCTTGTGTGCCAGAACAATCCAACATGGATTCACACAGAAAACACTGGCTCAGGATCTGCATTGTCTGTGCCTTGGTTTTTAAATGCTCAAGGTTTAGAAACCTCTCAGTAGCTACGTGGAGAGTTTGAAAGCAGCATCATTTAGTCTGGACTTGACAGAACAACTGGTTCTTCAAATGCCTTTTCAGTGGTCACTGGCCTTTGCCTGTTCTCTCTCATTAAGAGGGAAATTTTGTGGCCTTCAGGGGCATAGCTGAAAGAATCTATTTTCAATTCAGCCATCTGTACTGCTTCAAATGAGAGGGAAATTAATTACATTCAGCCCTCCTCTCCATCTCTTGAAGAGGAGCTTTCCTTTCAGTCTCACAATCACTGATGTGAGAACAAAGGTCTCTGGTTTTGCAGTGCCCTTTCAAACCTGAAGCATCAAGCCAAGCCTTAACTACACAAGGAAAGGAAAAAACAAGTTCTGCATAATTAATTAACCAGAACTTTCAACTTTCTTAGTTTCAAGCTCAATGAACCTTCTCCTGCAATAACCACATCAAAATGCTGCTGTTCTAGATAAGGTCTTACATTTGTGCATGTTAACCT